CTTCCTTGATACATAATAGTGAAATATCTCTATATATACATAGATCTAGAGTTGGGTGAAATATTGTACATATATAATTATTATCTTTGTATACATGCTTGTGTGATTAATGATACTTTTGTTATATATGATGAAAGAAAAATTTAATTCTTAACAAACATAGACGGTAAAGTGGGTCTGGGGGAATTAATATCCCTAACATTAATCACATCCATAATTTTGAACAGAGTGTCTAATGTGTGTTTATTTTATCACTCGCAATAGTACGAATCCTTTGCAGGATAGAGCTACTTACAGGGTGTCGAACTGTAACGACCCTGACCCGGAGGCCCGGATCGCTACACGGGTCCTTACTCGAATCTGAGGTTACCTAGGTTCATCACAACATTTCTATGGTCAACACACCATTACAACGCTTGAATTACACTTAGAGACGATCCCATGAACACTGGTATGCTCAAGGTGACAAAATCCGGGATAAGAGAAGAAGCTTGCCAAACAGCCTCATTTCGGTCGACCGAAGTGGAGCTTCGGTCGTCCGAAATGAGCTCCAAAGCTTCGGTTGTCCGAAGCTCTGTTTCGGACGTTCGAAGAGAAGATGCTGAGAGGGTAAGAGGGGTTCGGTCGACCGAACCTCATTTCGGTCGACCGAAATGAAGATCCCGAGAGCACCCTCAACTGTTTCGGTTGACTGATGCATCATTTCGGTTGACCAAAATGGAGATCCCGAGCCTGAAATCCAAATGCCAACCTGCTGTGCCATGGAAAGGAAGGAAAATAGAAATGGAAGCTTGGATATGGGCTGTGCTTGAATTAAACGACTAAAAACCTTCCATTCTATGATCAAGAACTCGAATACCAACATGAGATCATAATACAACTTCGATTGATTGAATTACATAGAATCATGTATATACAATGACTTCAACAAATTCATTTACATTAACAACATAAGTTCATTCCTAACTTACAAGGCCATGGATATAATTTTGATTACATTCTCAAAACTATGCATAAACAAAAGAATGGCCTAGGTGCAAAAGTAACAAAAACAATCCCTTTAGCATCTCTTAAGCTTGAGGTGGGTTGTCATCCACCGGTTCTTTCCCAAGACCTGAAAAAATATATATATATATAGTAGGGTGAGCATAAAGCTCAGCAGGTGACACTTAAGACACACATCTTGTGTCCTTGTGAATCCAATCAAAGCATAGGCCAATGAGAAATGGGGATCTGCAACATAGGGGATCAATACAACATACAAGTCAAATCCAAGTATAATCAATGCGATGTAGTGAAATGCAACACATGCAAATGTCACTCCCCATTTTCATCCTTCAAAACCATCACTTTCAAATTATTAATACAGCCCGCCCTTTGGTAACCCTGCCGCGACATGAGATGATGATTGGCTAGTGTCCCTGACCCTTGGTAACCCCGCGACATCATTATAGGGCCCAGCTAGCTCAACCACGCTAGGGCGACTCCCTAGTCTCCTCTAGGCTATATTAACCTCTGGCCCGTTGGTAACCTCGCAGCGACCGGGTTTGCATAAAATCATTTCATCAAAACACTTCCCTGAAATTCCCTATTTTCATGTTTTAAGAACAAACTTCTCCCGTTTCATGCAACCCAATGGTACATGCATGTATATATGTTCCATGTTTCCAACATTATGGCATTTAAAGAATTACAACATCCAATCAAGCAAATATCATGTTCAACATTTCTAGATAGGTTATTAACATATTAAACATAATAAAATATATCTAAGCATGCTTTTCACATAAAATAACTCATGTACACAAATATATATTTCTCTAGATAACATCTCATATGATCATTAACACAATTAATTCTCAAATAAAGCATGCTAGCACATAAGAGAGATGTAATTCACAATGGGACAAGAAAGAAGTGGATTAAGAGCCCTTACCTCAAAAGTGAGCAAAACCCTTGAAAATGGGTCCTCAAATTCGAAATCCAAAGGGTGCTCAAAGTCTGAAATTACTGGTACCAGTACGTAGAGCTCGTCATGCTCTTCGTTTTGCCTCAAACGGCACCTTAATCCGATAAGAGATGAGAGAGAAATCTTGATTCAAAGGTTGCTTCCAGAATGAGAAGGAAAATGGAAGAGAAATGAGAGAGAGAGAAAAGCTACGGGAGAGAGAAGAAATGAGAAGCAAAATGGTCTCTAGACCATTACTTGGGTAGTGGTGGGTCCCACCACTATCCTTTGACTTTTCCTTTTTCCTTTTATTCATCCATTTTACATCACACAACATGCAAATGCACCTTATCCAAATACCATATAATTCATGCAAATTAAAATGCACAAGATTCAATTGGACCCAACCACAATCCCACACGCAACACATGAAAAGACCGAAATGCCCTTGCGTCAACACATTTTCAAAAAATTAAAAAAAAGCTGAAAATCGGAAACGTTACACGAACCTCAGGGACTATGGTGGTTTTATCAAGTTTAAAATTAATTTCTATTTTAATTTAGAAGGAAAGTTTGTTGGTTTGGTTATAATTCACTACCATGAATAGAAAAATAACAAAAATAAATCTATTGAGATCAGAGAGAGAAGATTTTAAGGCTTGACTTCACCGCGAACTTCATACTATGGTCAATTGTCTTAACACTGGGATTTCGATGTTTATGTATAACTCGGAATTAAAATCACTAACATTCATTTAATTCAATTTAAAGAATGATAAATAATGAATGTTTGTTAATAATAACCTATCTTCGGTTGACACGAATTATTTACCTACCTACTTCTAACTAATTTTGCATAATAATCCGTCTTCTCTAGGCATAGATTATGAAAACATTCATTCACAAAACGGTTTACGCATCATTGCATGATCTCTATTCTTATTGTCATGAGAAGCCATTAACCGCTAATCTCAAACAATAAGAATCGGTTGATTTTGATTAGAGAAGAATTAAATCTAAGACAAGGTATTAATTTATCAAAAACCAATTTATTCAACTAAAAACCCAATTGCTTAGAAGATCTAAGTCAATTGCTTAATAATCATGTAATCAATTATGCATTAATAATGAAAATCCCAGAGTTTAAAACAATCAAGCCGTAGTAATCGGATTCGGGTTACACCAATGCTTTAAGAAGGGATTTAGCTACTCATGACGATAGATGATGTCATCTTGGTTGGTGTAGAACTCATCATCATGGACTGCACTTCTCTTATAAGGATCTTTGTCTTCAATTCTTCAGAGAAACCTCCAAAAACCCTAAAAGCCACCATTAGATCTAAAATTATGCAAACCCTCTTTTTCTATGGCCTTTCACCTTCTTTTATAGAAGCAACTGACTTCTATCCCTTCTTGGATGGGCTTTAGGTCTTCTGGGGTCATTTGGACCCGTCCAGGACTTAATGGGACGCAATTAGAATTAATCCCACACTAAAGAAATCTGCCTGAAGAGAAAATGCTCGAGCAGAGAATATTGTACTCGAGCTTTTTTGCCTGTGCTTGAGCTTTTTGAAAAAGGCTCAAGCAGGAATTCTATACTTAGCCAAATTTCTTCAATTTATTTCCGAATAGTCTTTTTGGGAGAACTTGGTATGTCGACTAAATAAATCTTTGTATATGGTTCTCCAAATTTTCTAATGCTATTCAAGGTGTAGGTTATCGACAGTCTAAGTCAGATTACTCCTTATTTACTCGGGTATGTGGGCATTCTTTTACAGTCGTCTTAATTTATGTGAACGATATGGTAATCACAGGGAATGATGAGGCTGCCATAAGTGATCTCAAACAATTTCTTCATGATCATTTTCGTATAAAAAATCTCGGCAATTTGAAGTATTTTCTTGGACTAGAAGTAGGGCGCTCCAAAGAAGGAATTGTCATATCTCAGAGAAAATATACCTTAGATATTCTTAATGATATATGCAGGTTTTCTTAGCACTCATCCGATTGATTTTCCTATGGAACAAAATATGAAGCTCAACTCTTTTCAAGGAGATTTGTTAAAAGATCCCTCATGTTACAGAAGGCTTGTTGGGCGCCTAATATATCTTACAATTATCAGACCCGATATTACTTACTCTGTAAACATTCTAAGCCAGTTCATGCATGAGCCAAGTGAGTTAAAATTGAAAGGAATTGTGATGCAGATTGGGCTGGATGTCCTACAACAAGGAGGTCAATGACTGGTTATTGTATATTCCTTGGGAATTCGCTCATATCTTGGAAAACAAAAAAACAAAAAACTGTAGCTCGCTCCTCAGCTCAACCGGAAAACATAGATCCGTGGCGTCCATCACATGTGAGTTGACATGGTTAAGATATCTTCTTAAGGATTTACAGGTCAATCATCCTGAACCGGAAAACATAGATCCGTGGCGTCCATCACATGTGAGTTGACATGGTTAAGATATCTTCTTAAGGATTTACAGGTCAATCATCCTGAACCGGAAAACTTATATTGTGATAGTCAAGCATCCTTACATATAGCGGCTAATCCTGTATTTCATGAACACACCAAACATATTGAGATAGATTGTCATCTTGTTCGTGAAAAAATTCAATTGGTCTAATTGCTACTGCATATACTCATTCTACACATCAAGTTGCTGATATGTTCAGGAAGCCTTTGGGTAACGTCACTTTTCACACACTTGCGCAAGTTGGGCATTTTGGATATCCATGCTCCAACTTGAGGGGGGGAGTGTTAAAAATTATGCAATCAATTTCCTTGGACACAAAGTCAGCAATGATACTTGCCCAATCAAGTCCTTAATTCTTGTAAATTGATTTGATTTAATTTGGTGTAGATTGCAAGTTATTTTCTTTCTATGTACAAATATATCTTCATTACAAAATAAAAGAAAATCTTCTACATCCGTGTTCTCTGTTTTCTCTTCAATCATGTTCCGATCCACAGAGTTGCATATATATATTTCCTTGTTTATGATTTATGAACAAATTATTTTTCTTACCATGGAAAAAAACAAACTAGTGATCCAATAAAACATAAAGTCTGCATTAGTTCCCAAAACCTACATAATTACATCAGTAGCCAAATACTCCCTAATCTCCAAATGAGCAATACAAACAATAACTATACATATATGTTGTTTTTCACCATCTTTCCATCAGATGTTCCTGGTCTAAAATCCTTCCTGAAAGGGCTGTCGCCAGGGCTGCTATGAAACCAGTGTTTCTCGTTAAGGAAGAAGCCAATATTTGTTCAATTGGAAACTGTTGAAATGATGTCTGTTCTTCAACTTCTGTGATGGTCGACTTTCTTGTGCTGCTGCTGCTACACAGTTCCGGTTTGATTAAATCAACACTTGCAGTGGGACTTGAAGCAGTGATGGAGTTCAAACCAGGATTTGCACATTGGTTCAAGCCCAGTGACACCTCGGTTTCACGAGGGCGAGGGTGGTTGTGCTCTCCTTCATAAGTAGCAACTAAAACAGAAGTATTTTCAATACTTCTTTGCACCTATATATATAGATAAAATAAAGTTATCAGCATATTATATAACAAATCATGCAAATAGTGGACAGGTTGGGGCAAAAAAAAAAGAAGAAAAAAGACAGAGAGATCGAGACAGAGTTTAGCTCACCTTCTTCTTTACTGGACAGTTTGGAGCAAAAGAGCACCTATAATAAGCTCTAGGAGAAGGGTTATCTTTAGTAACCTTTTGTCCGTATTTTCTCCACTGGTATCCATCTTTTACTACCTGGAAACACAAAGCAAAAGACACAAGTAGGGTTGTTAGTGCTAGTACTAGGCTTTTAAACAGGGTTTGAAACGAGACACAGTCTCTCTACGTATATTTGATTTTTTCACGACAGTGAATAACGAGAGCCTAGTGCATTGGATTAGCCCTTTTATGTATTAGATACGAGTTGAAGATGGAATTAATAGGGGCTGTTTCACAGATTAGACAAAAGCCTGTGGTTAGAACTTACAAGGCTCGCATCTGATGGATCTGTTTGAAAACAAACTTTTGAAACTTTTGTGTTGATTTCCTTTGGCCTCTTATATGAACCTCCATAATCGGAATTACAGATGCTCTCGGCGTTTCCCCTAATTCCTGTAACATTGACATAGTTCTCCATCTCGGCTTTTCTCTTCCCTAATTTGAAGGCTTCATTTTCAGCCTTCTTTTGCATCAATTCAGTTAAATGGCTTCTCAAAGAATTGTAATTCTCGCACATGATGGTCAGCATGTCTTTAAGCCTTTTGTTCTCCATTTTCATTCGATTTAGCTCTTCGATCAATTGATCACCCTGCAATCCCAAAGGCAAGGAAATTTTGTTTCAGTAGTTGGCAAAAAAATTGTAGCCAGTACAAGAAAAATTAGTGGTGATTAATTTCCCGGGGAAAAAAAAAAAAGTCTAGTAGTGATTGGTGAAGTGGTAGCATATATCATGATTAGTTCTTTTCACACTTCCACAGACAGAGGGAAGACTAAATATGATTTGGGGAAAAATTCAATTTAGTGTCCTAACTCCCAAGACATAATATCTAAGTCCATGTTCAATGAATATATAGGATTTAAATAACCCAAAAACATAAAATAGGAAGTGATCATAAAAGCAGTCTAATGTGTTCTCAAGAATAGTTTTTGGAAACAAAGTAGATTTAAGTCCCATACAAACGTGAGAAAAAAGTAAATCAGTCCCTTGGATGCATATTCCAATAAGAGTTTTAGGTTTGAGAATCATTATTGACTTAGTTCTATCATCCACTCACCTCTTCTTTCATCGATGGTGTGCTTTCAAAAATTAAGTCATGACCCTGAAACTTTCTCCCCTGATTCAACAAAGAAATGACAATTTATTTATTTATTTTTTGTTAGAGTTCACCAACTCAAAGAAGCGTTAAAGCAAGGAAAAAAAATATGGGTTTAATTGGTTAAAAATAAATAATTCTACTCACCTGACTTATTTCTTGGATCTTGAGTAAGGGACTAAGATTGAGGTCTATGTTGAGAGTTGAATCCATAATTGGGATTAATTATAAAAACACAGAATAGTGTAAAAATATAAGTGATTCAGAACAAGTGGTAATAGTCTTGTGTTGGTCAAGTGAATGAGAGGAGAAAGCTAAGAGCGATGACAAATATATAGAGAGGAGAAGAGAGAGAGAGAGTCTAGGTCCACGGTGGGTACCTAAGGAAAGTGGCACGAAATAGAGGTCGTCCTCAAAGAAGAGTCCTTTAAGTTTACACGAATTAAAGTCTTGAATTTCAAGTATTTTCAGCGTCAGATCAGGAATATAATAACTAGAGTCCAGATTGGATAATTCTGAACATTATAACGTTCACATTGACACCAATATTATCTGGTGGACTTTCGGCAGCTATGGTGGACTTTTATGCATCTCCTAGCCGTTTTGTCTTACAAAAACTACCTAGAATTATGGATCAGTTTGCGTTTACACACTCAAATTTATAGATAAGATTATAATGTAGTCCTTGATTTTTTCTATTTCATGTCGGCACCGCCGTACAATAAAAGTAGCCATCTCTTCTACTGTTGTAAAACAAAGCTGATTTTCATTCAACCATGATTCTGGTCAGGATTATGGGATGTACGCATGCATCTAGTTGGTGGAACTAAATTACAAGTGTCTCATATTTGTCATTGGATAAAACATCAGTTAGAACATACACGTGAGTACGCTTGATGTAACTATTGGAATTTATATGTTCTGGCATAGCAAATTTCTGTTTCGATTAAAGTGACATATTGTGGAGGGAAAAAAAACTCCCTCCAATAAGAAGCGCACACGTCACCACTACCCATATCTACATTCCAAGGACATATAAGGCCCATCATGCTCAAGCCCAAATTGAGGGTATTTACAGCCCAAGACCATTGTTAGTTATCCTCCAACTTCCATCAAGGCCGAATCAAGAAGTCATCAGCCCAGCTTGTCGTCAGCCCAGCGTATGAGTATTTAACATCCGGCCTGTTACCCAAGCCCAGCCGGATCAAAATATATTCAGCCCAAGAATGCGCAAATCCTACCATTTGAAGGATTTACTGTAGAAGGAAAATTCGGATAGGAAGTTCTATACAAGGCAATTTCTATGTATGGAAGATTCGACAATGGAAAGAACTCTATTAGAAAAGAATGGTTATATAGAAAGAATTGGAGGGCAAGCAACGCGAGTCCTACCATAATTTTGCAATCTTTTGTATATAAATAGAGGCTAAGACCTCCAATAAAGGATCAAGCAATTCCACACCTCTCTATACATCGTTCTTATTTATTTTTATTGTTTTTGAGTGAGTTGTTTTATTTTTCTCAGTCATTATTGGTTGAGCGAAATTTTGCACCTACACTTTGGCGCCGTCTGTGGGAATCGTATACAAACATACTCCCACTTGTTCTTCAAATTAAATCCTTTAGTCGTGTCTGGAATGTCAAACGGAGATTCAGCAATGAATCAACAGATAGAACTGATGCAAAAGATGCGAGAAGAGTTCTTGCACCAATTTGAGACACTCCGGCAAGCAAACGATACGAGTGTCGCCCAGATAGCTGCGCTTCAGCAGCAGACTCATACGCTGCACACGGCCATGGCCAGGCTAACGCCACAACCACCACCAGGCGATGCTGCGGTACCACCTCCCACCCGGAATTTACCTCCGGTTCACGAGCCTCCAGCCAACGAGACACCACCCAACGGGGCTCGACCTAGTGAGGCGCAGCAAAAGCAAGGGACGAGGTCCGAGGCGGTTGCTTCGGATAATCTCCCGCATCGCACACAGGCCGAACAGGCCGAGTCCAGCCATAGGCTTACGGTATGGTCCAATGGCGTTCCAGATGGCGCACGTGTACAAGATGCATTCGATGAAAAAAAGCTCTTGAGAGTCCAGACACCAGCCGAGATGGCTAGAGAACACAAGAACTCCTTGGTCAAGACCCCCTTTACTGACGAGGTGTACCTTGTGGAGAAGCCGAAGAAATTCACTATGCCATCCTACACCCAGTTCGATGGGGCAGGCGACCCTTCTTGGCATCTTGATCATTATGCGCAAAAGATGGCATTGGACGATCATAACGATCCGTGGATGTGTAAGGTTTTTCCTACCAGTTTAACCGGAGCAGCGTTAGAATGGTTCAGGAATAGGCCACACAAGTCTATCCCTAACTATGAGACATTGTGCACTATGTTCTTTGCCCAGTATTGCGGAAATAAGAAGCAGAAGAAAAGTATAGCCAGCCTTTTTACCATAAGGCAAAGGAAGGGAGAAACTCTGCAAGATTTTTTATCCAGATTTAACATGGAGGCCTCGGAGATAGCAGATTGCCATCCTGCCACGGCAATCGAAACATTTAAGTTGGCAATGATCCAGGGAACCAAGTTTCACACATCCTTAGTCAAATATTCCCCCCCGGATATGCAGACTTTGAAGGGCACAAATCTACATTCGGTTGAAGGAAAACGTAGCTTACCGTGCGCAGCACGCTACCCTCGTCACAGTGGAAAACAAGTCTCGAGAGAAAGCTGCGAGCACAAGGATGCAGAAGGTTCCTCATACCGCCACACAAGCCACCCAAGCGTTTGAGAAAAGGCGAATGACAGAGGACAGGCTTACCCCTCTTTGTACTACCTTGGCGCGCCTATTCTAAGAGAATAAGACGAGGTTCGCGACTCTTCAGCCCATGAAACAACCCTTGGAGCAGAGGGACAAAAACAAACATTGTGCCTACCATAGAGATTATGGGTATACCACCAATGACTGCAGGTCCCTACAGCGACAGGTAGAAAGCATGATAACGAGAGGAGAATTGGTGGAGTATCTCGCCACGAAGGAGCACGTAAAACCTCGGGAGGTTAACCCTCGACGGGTAGAAGGCAGTCAGGTAAAGGTTATCCATGCTATTCACGGAAGGTCGGAGGATGATGAAGAGTCTGAAGAGTTGTACAGATCCAGGCTGCGAGAGGCTCATAAGTTACGAAGGTTGTCTTCGGTAAACACGGTTGCACCAGGCAGCATCAACATTGGATTCGGTAACAACGATCTTTCTAGAGTCCAGCGCCCACATGAGGACCCCTTGGTCATCAGCCTCCTGGTAGCGAATTACATGATCAGGAGAGTGCTGATAGATCCGGGAAGTAGCGCCAACATCATTACAAAAACAGCTTTTGATCAGTTGGGGATTTCACTATCATCCATCAGGCCAACTTCCGGCCCCCTAATGGGATTTGATGGTACTAAGGTGAATCCGCTTGGGGTGATCGATCTATCCGTTACTGCAGCAAAGAGAACTCTGTAGGAAAACTTCGTCGTGACAGAGATTCATCCATCTTATAACCTCATTATGGGAAGAGGTTGGATCCATCGTATGAACGGAGTCCCTTCTACACTTCATCAAGTAATGAGGTGTTTATCCCCGGATGGCAGGGAGGTCATCGACCTCTGGGGAGACCAGGTTGCTGCCAAAGAATGTTACATGCTAACGCTACACGAAGCAAAGAAAGTGTCGAAATCACCTCAGTCAGAGGCGAATCCCAAAGATGCAATCAAATAGCAGTTACAGTATCCTCTGCCCAAGTATCTCAGGGCAGAGGAAAAATCCGAAGCTGAAGCACCTACCGAGGAGTCCCTCGAAGCTATAGAGGTAGTCCTCGGAGACCCTCAGAAGATCACCTACATTGGCTCAACTTGCACAGCCGAAGAGAAAGAAGCATTGATCGGGGTTATTCGGTGCAATTCGGATGTCTTTGCCTGGGATCACTCGGATATGGTGGGGATCAATCCTACAGTCTCATGCCATAGTTTGAGGGTTAACCCAGAATTCAGGCCAGTCAAGCAAAGGCACCGACGGTTCGCACCTGAACGGAATCGCATAATAGCCGAGGAGGTAAATAAACTGTTACAAGCAGGATTTATTCGAGAGGTGCAATACCCACAATGGCTCTCAAATGTAGTAGTCGTTCAAAAGAAGAATGGGAAATGGAGGGTATGCGTAGATTATACCAACCTTAACAAAGCTTGCCCAAAAGATAGCTTTCCTCTGCCCAAGATTGATCAAATGGTGGATGCTACGACGGGTTATGAAAGGCTCACATTCCTCGACGCATACTCCGGCTATAATTAGATTCCCATGAATCCTGAAGATGAGGAGAAAACTGCTTTCATCACAGAAATGGGCACTTACTGCTACAGAGTGATGCCCTTCGGTCTAAAGAATGCCAGAGCCACCTACCAGCGACTTGTCAATAAAATCTTCAGTAATCTGCTGGGCGATACAGTTGAAGCCTATATCGATGATATGGTGGTTAAAAGTATACGGAAAGAGGACCACCCGAAGCACCTCCAGGAGGTCTTTGATACTCTCAAGAGATACAATATGAAGCTGAACCCCACCAAGTGCTCCTTCGCCGTTTTATCAGGACAGTTCCTTGGGCACGTCGTAAATAAAAGAGGAATAGAAGTAAGCCCAGCTCAGGCAAAGGCACTCATACAGAACCAGGAGCCGAAAACCCGCAGGGAAGTGCAAGTTCTAACCGGCCGAATTGCGGCTCTCAGCCGATTCATATCCCGATTATCTGATAAGTATAAACCTTTCTTTGATGCTATTCGATCCAAAAACAAAGATATGTGGGGACCTCAGCAGCAGGAAGCTCTCAATCAATTGAAAAGCTACATGACAAAACCCCCAATCCTTTCTGCTCCAACGCCCGGAGACACTCTCATCCTGTACCTGGCAGTATCGGCTGTAGCAACAAGTGCAGTGTTGATTAAAGAAGAAGACAAGGTTCAGCACCCAATCTTTTACACAAGCAAAACGATGACGGATGCCGAGACACGGTACAGCAAGACAGAAAAGGTAATCCTGGCGTTAATTTATACCAAGAGGAAACTTCGACATTACTTTGAGTCTCACAACATAGTGGTACTTACAAGTTTCCTTATACGGGCTATCCTAGCTAAACTAGACCTGTCTGGTCGAATTACAAAATGGGCTATTGAACTTAGCTCTTTTGACATCACCTATGCACCGAAGGTATCTCACAAGGGGCAGTCGGTAGCGGATTTCCTACTAGAGTACGAAGATCAACCTGAGGGACCGACACTTCCAGAGCCATACTGGGAGTTACGAGTTAATGGCTCGTCCAACCGGAAAAGGGCAGGGGCCGGTAT